TGGGGGAGGGTTGGAAATGGGAATCATAGGAAAGGCAAGCAGAGGGGGATCTTAGGTCACCCCCAAAGGCTCAGCCAAGCTTTGCCTGTATTATCCTATTGGCAGTAAGATAATATTGAATGTTTCTGAGAAAAGCCATTAATTCATGATGAAATCAAGGCTAAAGGTCAGGACTAAAGATATAGGTTAGTTATCATTTCCCAAGAGGTAATTGTTGAACACATGTGAACAAATGAAATCTTTTTAAAAATCCTATTAAGATAGAAATGACCTCCTCCTCGTCAGTTGCCCAGTGTGACCCTGACTGCCCAGAATTCTCATGAGAAACCTGTCCCACCTCACTGTACTTACGGGATTCCATGTCTATCTGCCAGCAGAAGGCAGGCCCCTTTTATGAGCATGGTAGGTACAGGGTCATATGTAATATCCTTGTATTCTCAGGACTGAGAAAACATTTGGTACAGAGAAGGTACTTCATATGCATTTGCTGCATAAATAAATAAACAAGCATTTAGTTTACAAAGCAACTTCACATACATCTCATTCACTTAATCCTTCCATGTGCCCGGGGAAGTAGGTGTTACTGGTCTCAGAGAGAGAGGGGAGGCCTAGGCACTGGAGGATGTCTGCACCCAGGGAAGAGAAAGCACAAGCAGAACATTCAAAGAGGACAGAGAGGTGGGATGACAGACCAGTGTCCGGAGCCACCAAAGACAAAGAGAGAACAAGAGAGGTCAGGCAGCTTGGGGTGTGGGCTAGCAGAAAGCCTCAGCTCTGCAGGGATCACACACAGAACCACTCGGAAGAGGGAGGGAGGCCAAAGACAAAAGAACCAGGGACAAAGGAGGGAGGTGGAGGATGGAGGAGAGGGCACTACATGATGGAGATGTAAATTCATCATTCAGAGAAATGTGACAGCAGAAGAGAGAAGAGTGAACTGAGAAGCAGTAAGAGCCAGCTAAGGGTGTTTTCCTCCAAGCCTTGGAGCATGAGGTGAGATGAAGCTGAACAGCGCAGTGAGGGCTCAGCTTGAAAAGGAGGGAGATGGTGAAGCTGCAGAAGCGTTCCAGCGTGCTCATCCCCCCTCGCCCCCACCCCCAACCTGATCAAAGCTCCAGCACGGCTTCATTAGTGGCGAGACGCATCTATGTTACATATTTAGTTGCTTAGTCCAAACAGCCGTCTTTCCCCAGTTAGTGCCAGACTCAGCAATCTCTTTGAAAATATGTTTTCTCTTTTTCCAATCTTAAAAATAGTCTATCCCCCAGGAGCAATTGCGGCCTTCTTGCCGCTCAGATGACAGTCTGCAAGGCCAAAGCTACAGAACCTCACCCAAAATAGATCAAATATTTTAAATGTTTTCTTATTTGCACCCCTCACAAATATGCCTGCAATGCAAAGCCAATTATGAGATTGCCTTTCTTTCTTTCTTTCTTTTTTTTCCTGAAATGAGTGAAGGGTATGCTTTCTGTTCAAAAGGGGAGGCCAGGCCTCCCCACAAGGTCTTGGTTGGATTTCGGACAGCCTGGGTGAACATATGCAGCTCACAGCAGCCTGTCAAAATACTTGCCACCCTGGGGTCCAACTTGTCCACTTGTCAGAGCTTCCCCATGTGAACAACAGTTTTTTAAAGGCAAACCCAGTGTTTTGCTAAGATTATAAAAGGCACAGAGCCTAACACTACGCCTTGCAGATCACAGATGCTCAGGTGTTGGTTAACTGAATGAATGAACAGACCATCTGAGAAGAGCCCTGTCATAGCTCCCTGTGACTCAGATACCCAGTGTGACCGAGATAAACATCTCATAGATGGAATCTTTTTGCTTTCTCTGAGGGTAGAGAAAATCCAACAGCGATGAATATGGGCCAGTTGGGAAGTGTGGAACCCAAAGAAACAAGATCCAGTCATCCCCTCCAGCTCAGGAAATAAGGAGACAGACGTTTCCTACAGGGAGGCTGAGGGGATGGCCAGGTCTGTTCTGCGGAAATGGAGAACAGAAGCTGGGTCTTCTCTGAACACACTCTCTTTCCCATCTGACAGGTCCCCACCTTTACCCCAGACCACCAGTGTCCTTCTTCTACCACCTGGTGCCCCTAAAAACTGCCCCCATCAAAATGGGCTGGTGCAAACTCTCTCTTCATCTGAATCCTACTCACGAATTACTTGGCCGCAAAGCACTAAGGCAGGCTGTGGACTAAGTTATAAGCCCTTAGAGAGGGACTATTACCGTGTTATCGTGTCAAAGCCTTTGTACAAATGTGTGACCAAGTAAGGATGTCACAGTCGGGGCAGGTCCACTCTTGCTAGTCAGGCTGACCCTGAGTGGCTGCACTGCTGGTCTGAGGACAAGGAAGGTCAGTGGACTTTCTGGGTGTCACATAGGTCACCAGGTACGAGTGTCCTCGGGAGAGAATGTCTCATCTACATAGTAGTTTTTAAAAAAAAAATTAAAAATTGAAAAGGTTTAATGAAAACATAACAAACGTCTGTGTGCATGCTTGACAGAATTAACAATGTAATCATTTTGGCATTAATTGCTTAAGGTCTTTTACGTTGCAGATACATTGAACTCCTCCATTTCGTGGCCAGTACCATTATCTTCTCTCAGCAGCTATCTCCAATCTGATGTGCTTCTAGTCCACTCTTACATGTATCCACAAATAATTCCTATGGATACTTTCTGCTGTTTTTGTCTTCATTCAAAATGTTTTTGAGATCCAGCTACACCTAGTTCATTCATTTTAGCTACTACATAGCACTCCATCTCATATCACTGTTTATGTAGCTTCTCCCCTGCCAGCCGCTCCTGGGATTTTTTCTCCGTGATTTTGCTGTTGCAGTCAGCTCTATTGAGCTTCCTTTGGTATGTCTCTTTGCTAACGAGTGAGAGAGTTTCCCAAGAGGATGTAGCTAAAACTGGGATCCCATGTTGAAGGTCACTAAATATTGCCAGGTCACCCTACAAAGTCAATGTACCAATTTACTCTCTTACTTACATGTGTAAGAATTTATGCCCATGCATCATCAATAATAGTTAGCTTTGCAAGATCCAAGACTTCTTTTCATCACCAAGCTGCTGGGTGTGCCCTAGTGTCTCCGTTTGAACTTGCATATTCCTGAAGTCAAGCATCATTTCAAGGTCTGGGACCTTTGTAGTTTTTCTCTGTGTACATTGTTTCATCCCATGTCCCAAACGTGTTTCTCTCTCTCTCTCGCCCTGTCACCCTGTCTTGATTTGCGGGTATTCCTTGATATTCTAGATCCTAATTCTCTATTCTTTATATTGAAATTTTTCTCTTGGTTTGTCTTTTCACTTTTTTCTTTCTTTTTGGCTTTTCACTTTTTATGTGGCAGCTTTTGTTGAACAGAAGTTTTTACATCTCGATGTAACAATTTTTTTTCTTTAGTTTAATTCTTACTATTTAGAAGCGTTAGTTAGATTTTTCTTTTTAAAACTCTCAGTGGCTTACAACAACAAACATTTGTTTCCGGTCCCCTCCATATGAAGCTCAGGTAGGTGAAACTCTGCTGGTCTTAGCTGAGCTCACTGGCCCGGCCCAGGCCTGTGGGTCTTCTCATGGTGGAAACCAAGCTGAAGAGCAGCCACTCTCTGGGGTGGATCAGTGTCCTGCCATGCTGTAACAAGCTACTGTGAATTAGGTGGCTAAAAACAATACGTGTTTATTCCCTCACAGTTCTGGAAGCCAGGAGCCTAAAATCAAGGTGTCGATGGGGTTGTTGGCTTTTTCTGGGGCCCTGAAGCCCTGAATCCACCCCCAGCTTCCGGTGGTCCCTGGCGATCCTTGGAATGCCTTCCTTTGTAGATGGATCGCACCAGTCTCCACATTTGTCGCCACCCCCCTTGCTTCTGTGTCTTGTGTGTTTCAAATCTCCCTCTCGCTTTTTTCTTATAAGGGCATTTGTGATTGGATTTAGGGTCCACCTGGACAATCCAGTATGATCTCATGTTCAGATCCTTAACTACATTTGCAAAGACCAAATAAGCTCATATTTCCAGGTTCTGTATGAACATATCACAGTGGGGGGCGCCATTCAACCCACTGCATGGGGCATGTTGTTATCAAGGCAAAGGGCAGGTACTCAAAATGAAAGCAAAACAGTGACACCTCTTAAAGCCTCCACTGCAACAGATATGCTGTCACCCCAGGCCACATCACACTGGTCAGGGCAAATCCTGTGGTCAAATCCACCTACTGAAAGTGCTGCAAAGACAAGAGGTACAAATATGAATGTTTAAAAAAAAAAAAGAAAAGAATATGAATGTTTAATCCTATTAAAGAGGTAGTGAATAGTTGGCAATGGCAGTCCATCTATCACAAGCCACATTATTTTAAAAGTCAAATAATGGCAGTGGCTTTTAACAGAAAGCAGGCATCCTCCCCATCCACACCTCCACTTCCCGGAACAGGTGCTGCCTCCAGGCAATGGCTCCCAGCTTCTTCTCACTGGCCTGTACATGTTGGGGTGTCAGTTCCCCCATCTCTGCTCATCACTGCCTGTACTTTCTAAGCTAACTTCTTTTTTTGTTGTTGTTTTTAATATTAAACATTGACTTTTTAACAATTTCAGATCGGGTGGCGCCTGTGGCTCAAAGGAGTAGGGTGCCGGACCCATATGCCGGAGGTGGGGGGTTCAAACCCAGCCCTGGCCAAAAAAAAAAAAAAACAAAAAAAAAATTCAGAAGATCAGGGATTACATGTTTTGTTTACATACTTTATTTTTGTATGGATTGAGTCAGAGTTATCCACATACGTGTACCCTTCACCCAGACAATGAGCATTGTATCCAGTAGATGTGAAGTCACCCTCCTCCCCCCACCCCCAGCTTGATTTCCTTCCATATGTGCACTTAAGTGTTGATTGATTAGTTCCAATTTGTTACGGAGTACATGTGTTTATTTCTCTATTCTTGTAATGTTTCACTTAGAAGAATGGTTTCTAGTTAGATAGTAGATCTCCATTTGTTTTTGTGGCTGAGTAAAAATATGGAACACTTCACAAATGTGTGTGTCATCCTCTGGCAGGGGCCATGCTAATTGTTTCTGTGTTGTCCAATTTCAGTATATGTGCTGCTGAAGGAGCACCCTCAGGCGGCCGAGGAGCACCCTCAGGCTGCCGGAGGAGCACCCTCAGGAAGGAGCACCCTCAGGCGGCCGAAGGAGCACCCTCAGGCTGCCGGAGGAGCACCCTCAGGCGGCTTCTTCCTAGTTGTCAATACTCTCTGTGAACCAGTGACTCTCAGATGTGCGTCTCAAGCCTCACCCCTGCCCTGAACACCAGATCTGTGTGTCACACACACTCCCTAGTGTCTCATCATCATCCTAATATGTCCAAAATGTGTCTGATATGATTTCCACCCCTCCCTGCAAATCTCTCTCCCTCAGGGCCCCATTTTATTCAACAGCAATGCCATTTACTCAGTTATCAGACCATAAAAGGAAACGTCCTTGATACCTCTTTTTTCCTCACATCCCTCAATCCAGTGATTTATGGTGTTCCCTAAATTTGAGGCTTTCACAGCCCCCCAAGCACCACTGTCCCCATCAAAGCCAGCACCTGTGGCCTGTGACAATAGTCTCCCTCCTGCTTCTACCCAGGTAGCTATAGTGATTTTTTTTCTCCTGGCTTCAAATCTTCCATCTCACTTAGAAAACAAAATCCTCACCATAGCTGTAAGGCTCGGGGTCATCCGATCTGGCCATTGGCTGTCACTGCTCCCCAGGCACCTTGGACTCTGCGATTCCTTTAATACATGCTCACTATTCTCGCCGTCAGGAGGGATTTTCCTTCATATATTCTCCCTGCTTCCTCCTTCACTTTACTAATGTCTCTTGTGAAAACCTACTTCAGAAAAGCCTTCCCTATTTCTCTTCATTTCTTTACTCTTTATTTTTATAGCACTGCTCTTGACATTATATGTTTATGTATTAGTTAATGTGTTTCTCTGCCTCCCTCCATCAAAACGTGTTTTGTTCACAACACCTAGAACAGGCTCTGGCATGTGGTAGAAAGTCAATAAATATTTATCCAGTGTAGGAACAAAGGAATGAATGAACTATTACTATTTTGTTGTGCTTTTAGGCATTTATTCCCATGTTCCTAAATAACATAGTAGTCCTGCTATTTGTTAAATTTTCAGTAGGAGGCGTTATCTGTTGATTTCTTTCTAAGAAAAATGAAGATTTAGCTCTCTTATCCACCATCATCCTGCTAACTCGTCCCTGCCCGTTATCCTCTGAATCTAATGACATCATCTTTGTTTTGGTGAAATCAATGTGGGATATTTGCATTACTATGATCGTGCAAATTTTCCTCACAGTTGAACTGTATAGTGTCCAGTGGTTACTTTTGCTTTCTTGTATAAATATTTTGGGTTTTCTTCCTGAAATTATAGTAACTTCAATTTTACATTTCCTTATTCTCTATGTACCTATCACAAGTGCTTTGCCCAAGAATATATTGGGTAAAAAAATATATCCTCTTGTGTAGTGCCTGTGGCTCAGTAAGTGGGGTGCCAGCTCCACATACCCGAGGGTGGCAGGTTCAAACCCAGCCCTGGCCAAACTGCAACAGGGAAATTACCAGGCATTGTGGCAGGCACCTGTAGTCCCAGCTACTCGGGAGGCTAAGGCAAGAGAATTGCCTAGGCCCAGGAGTTGGAGGTTGCTGTGAGCTGTGATGCCATAGCACTCTATCGAGGGCAATAAAGTGAGACTGTCTCTAAAGAAAAAGAAAGAAAATATCCTCTTGACTTTTCCTTAAAGCATTCTTGCTAGAGTCCTCTGCTCCAGGACCTATGGGTGCTTTCCTGACTAGCTATACAGATGTTGTCTTGGGGTTTTCTTTCATCATCCTCTTGGGACAACCTTTCACCTCTATCTGAGTTTTCATTCTCTCCCTCCTGCTTTTTGCCTGCCTTCTTGGTTTCTAGTTTCCACCCCACACTAATATTTCTTCCCCTCCTTTGCATGGTGCATCTAACCTTGAGAACTTGAGAACTCCAGAGTGAAATGTGTTTTCATTCATTGTACTGGCCCAGTGGGCCCTTTGAATCAAGAAACTTTTGCCCTTCAGTTTTAAGAAGACTTATTTTATTATTTCTTTCGATAATTTCCTTCTCAGTTTTTCTGTCCTCTGTTGCATGCACATTTAGAGTGTTAGAGTTTTTATTACTTCTCTAAAGTTTTGATCTTTTTAAATCTCTTTTCCAGTAAACATTTCTAAACGTTATCTTCCATTTCTTAAGTTAAAGGTTAAAACATTTCTGTCATCATACTTTCTATCTACAAGAGAGTTCTTTCTGTTCTGTGAAAGTGACTTTTTAAAGTATCTTCCTCTTGTTTTGTGGGTATGATATTTTCTCTTGTCTCACTGAGAATTGTAATTATAGTTTGCTCCGAGTTTCCTTCCATCTCCTACCCTATCTTTCTGTCCTCTGGGTTTCTTTCTTTGTTGCTTTTTCTACTCTCTCTTTTTTTAAGTTTATGGTCATATTTAAGAGTAAGGGTCTAAGCAGACGATTGGAAGGTGCCACACACACAGGTTCACTAAAGCGCATTAGAAAACAAGCGAGACATTTCAGATTGCTCCCTCGGATGTCTGTGTCTATAGATTTGTCCATAGGCATACCAGTTTTCCTCGTGTGGAATCCCAGTTTTCTGTCTGTGGAGTACAAACCTGACTGTTTGTATCCTGTATCCTGGGTTCCCTACAGGATTAGGAGACAAGGAATATTTTAGCATTCAGTGATTTTCCCTTAAAAATTCATTTTCCACAGCCTGGGCAACATAGCAAGACCCCCCTCCTCTATAAAAAATTAAGTGACTGTAGTGGCGTGCACTTATAAACCTAGTTACTTGGGAGGCCAGAACATCAGGATTGAGTGGGCCCAGGAAATGGAAGCTGCAGTGAGTTATGATCATACCACTGCACTTCATCCTGGGCAGCAGAGTGAGACTCTGTTGATTGATTGATTGATTGATTGATTAAAAATTAAACGTTTAATTTCAGTAAGACAGCCTCTTCTCCATTCACTTTGCTTGGTACCTCTGAATCCACACTTCTCCTCAGAGAACAAACAGAATAAACTTCCAGTTTTCTGTCTGGTTGAGAGGGGTATTCACCTGGTGGCGTGGGGGTTGAGGAGGACAGGTAGGCTTTGAACTATTCCTTAGATTTTCACCCAAACCTATTTTCTCTTCCAGGGCTCACCTTCAGAGGTTCCCAGGGCTTCCACCTCCTGGATTTTTTCCTACTTCTGAGACTTGGACCAGCTTCTTTCTTGTTGGCATCCCAACTTGCAGGCCAGATTTCAGCTGCTCAACTCTGTTAAATCAATTACCAACTAGCCATCCATTTTCCATATTCCAAAATTTGGCTGACATCTGGAACTGGCTAATTCCTTTCCAGTAAACTTTGCCTTATGCAGTTTATTTATGCATTTTAAAAAAATATATTCTTTACTATCATTTTGAGAAAGGAGCAGAAACAAATAAATGTCCTTTGATTGTCATGTTTAACTAGATCCTCAGATTCATCAGTCTTTTCATTTGTGAGTTCTGGGGTTTCTTTGACATTCCCTGCCCAATTTTTTCTGTTCCTTTTCAAGTTTCTTTTTCAATGTAACCTAGTTTATTTTAGTATGGGATAGAAATTTTGAATTTAAACTTATTCTTCTTATATAATTATAACTTTACCATGAATAGAATGATCCACCCTTCTAATTTACATTATTTCCTCTATTATTTAAATTTTTTTCATATGTACTTAGATCTGTTTATACGGTTTCTCCTTTATTCTATTTATCTATTTGTCTATTCTTGTGCCAGTAACACTTATCTAAATTAGAGTTTCCTGCTAAATATCTCCTTACCTATTTTTAGATCTTTGCTTTTTCATATTTAGTATTATTTTATCAAGTTCTACAACTTGTCTTTTGAATGCATAGATTACTTTGAGGAAAATTTACATGTTTACAATTTTGAGGTATTTCATTCATGAAGATGGCATATTTATTAAAGTTTTTATGTCTGTAAATCAGGTTTTGTAACTTTCTTGCAAAAGAAAAGGAATGTATTTTATTACATTCATTCCCATTTGTTGTAATAGTAACAAAAAGTACACTTTGAATGCAACTCCAACAATCTCACGAAGCTCTTCTGTTCTGAGATTTGTAGATTCTTCTGAATTTTCTACACAGATAATTATGTAGCAAATAAAGACATTTGTTTTTCTTTCTAATCACAATGGTTCTTTTTCCTATTTCTTTGTGTTGGTTAGGAATCCAGCACAATTTTTTAATTTTAGAAGAGAATAGTCAGGCTTGGTGCCTGTAGTACAGTGGTTATGGTGCCAGCCACATACACCGAGGGTGGCGGGTTCAAACCCAGCCAAGACCAGCTGAACAACTATAACAACAACAACAAAATAGCCAGGTATTGTGGTGGGTGCCTATAGTCCCAGCTACTTGGGAGGCTGAGGCAAGAGAATTGCTTAAGCCCAAGAGTTGGAGGTTGCTGTGAGCTGTAATGCCATAGCACTCTGCCAAGGGCAACATAGTAAGACTCTGTCTCAGAAAAAAAAAAAAAAAGAAGAATAGTCATTTTTTTTTTTTTTTTATTAAATGATAGCTGTGTCCATTAATGCAATCATGGGGTACAGTGTAGTATTTTCATATACAATTTGAAATATTTTCATCAAACTGGTTAACATAGCCTTTATGTCATTTTCTTAGTTATTGTGTTAAGACGATTATATTATACTCTTAGAAAGATTCACTTGTACCCTTGTAAGATAAACCATAGAAGTGATCCCTCCAATCACCCTCCCTCCACCCATCTCCTCTCCCTGTCCCCTCCCCCCCATATTCTTAGGCTATAATTAGGTTATAGCTTTCATATGAAAACCATAAATTAGTTTCATAATAGGGCTGTGTACATTGCATACTTTTTCTTCCATTCTTGTGATACTTTGCTAAGAAGAACATTTTCTAGCTCCATCCATGTAAACATGAAGGATGTAAAGTCTCCATCTTTCTTTATGGCTGTATAGTATTCCATGGTATACATATACCACAGGGGAATAGTCATTCTTGTCTTTTCATTGGTTATAGTGGGACTGCTTTTAATATTTTCTCATTCCTAATTATCTGAGAGTTTTCCTAATCTATAAATGATTACTGATTTACTAAGTATTATTGTTTATCATTGAGATGATCCTTCTCTTTTTGTTTTTCTATTTCTTTTATTTATTTACTTATTTTACTTTTAAACTGTAACATATATCGTTAGATTTTTGGATTGTGAACCACCTCTGCATTGGTTGTATTTGTTTTATTTTATTGGATTCATCTTTCTAATTTTTTTTTTAAATCTAGCCTCATGAGTGCACTTAATCCAAATTCTCCACCTTTTTGTACTTTGCTGTCCAATTTTGATATCAAGATCCTACCAACCTGCTTTTACTGTTTTATAAACCTAAGTGTCAGGAAGTGTTTCATTTGACTAACAGAACGTGGGAAGGTGTGTTCTGCTGCCTTTCAAAAACTTCAAATCCTCTTTTCTATTCGATAAAGTAGACATTTTAAACTGGAAGTATGAGCATGTTTCATGAACTAAATGAAGTGACTCTAATTTGGAATGAAAGAAGTATGGTCTGTTTTTACTTCTAAGTTGAAACATAAGCAAAATATAATTGGGAGCTATAGATCTACATGATAGTAAACACTCTGCGGGGATGGAAAAAAATACAATGAATCATCTAGATATTTCCAAATGCCTCTTTAGATTTATTATGGTTTGATTTGGTAGACACGGCCTATGATAGACAAGCGATTCTTTATGTTGGATGACTCTAATGGGAGGTACAGTCCACAGACATCTCCTTTATAAGGCCTATGTATTTTCAGCTGTTTACAAATGACCTCTGGCAAAAGTAAATTCTGTGAAAGTGAAGTTTCTCAAGGCAGAGGCTGGGCAACATATACATTTTTTCTTTCTATTTCCTCTTCTTTCTTTCTAAAATTCTTGCTTGTTTTTGAAAAAACATAAAAAGACAAAGAGAAAGGAATTTTTCTGCATTCTTGTGTAAATTACATGAAATTTGTTAGTTCCTCCACAGTAAGTCTATTTTCAAATGCATTAAAAATAGGCTGAGAAATAGGCTGCACTCACCCACTAATCCCTGCACATGAGGCATCCAGAATTTATCTGGGGAAACATACTTCTTTCTTTCAAAAGACATAACCCCCAAATACTTAGTTGTTTATCTTCTACAAACCATGCAAAATGCATGTCCTTTCTTGTTTCCTGTTGATAATATTTCCTTTTTGTAGCATAAGTTTTCCTTCCTCTGGAAAGCTGGTACTTACTTTGTTCATAGGTTCCAAATTATGCCCTGATGGTGTTCAACCAAGGGCATTGTTTATACAAGCAAGGAAAATGCTGCTTAGGAGATGATCGTATAATCAGCAGTGGCAACGGAAAATAGCACTTCGGACTAGGCCTCCCTGAGTTACGGACAATACTGCCTGCATGGAGATCACGTGCCCTGAACATCTCCGGACATAGGTCATATCTCCACACAGACATTACCACATGAGTTGTTTTCAGAACTCCCTGATGTCTGCCCCACAATGTCTTCAAGTTCAGCAGTTTACCAGACTATGGAGTATTTTTCTATCTTTACAACCTGTCGAGATATGGGATGTCTCCAGCAGCCAAACTGGCTGTGTTCCAAAAGTTTATTTCTAAATCATTTATTTGGAATCTGAAACATTTTCCCATAGGAACAATTGTATAAACAGTGGTGTCCCATAAATGCAGGGTTGAGCCACAGTGTAGTGGATTGAAATGCAACACTGACTATTGGGTTGAGCTATGGTGTACTCAAAATGCAACATTGACTGTACTATTTCCACAAAACAGTATTTGGTCCATTTCTCTGGGAAAGGTGGACATCTTGAGCTTTAACTTGGGATACTTGAAACTCACCTCCTCCATTGCTTGGTAGCCTTGGTAGCCTCAGGTATAATTTTTGTTTTGGCTGGGTAGCAGTTGTAGTCAAGAATAGAAGAGGGAGCAACTTTCCCAAGAAAGATGTGTGCAGAGACTGATGTGTGTAACTTGTCAACACTGAAACCTGAAGAAGGAAACTACTTGTGTGGATCCATCACTTTCCAAGTGTTCTGAATAAGGCACAGAGGGAAGGGACTTTTTTCCTAAATAGAGACTGTTTCTAAGTCAGATATTCATAAATAGGGAGAAGGCTTAAACAGTAAAACCTCAAGCCCAAGCTTCTGTACTTGTAATTTGTCTGGGAAAATATTTTAAAACTTCTTGGTCAGTGATGAAACAGTTTCCAAACACTTAATAGTGAGATATACATCTTGCACTTAGTCCCAGGCCTAACAAATAGTAGGTCCTCCAAATAAGGTTTTTTTTTTTAATTGAATTAAGTACTAATTGAGTGAATTCTATATGAAAGGACAATATCTTGGTCACGTGCATGTGTGGGCCAGTTAACTGCATTCTTATTCAGCATCTCCAAATTCTGACCTTACCGCAGCTTAAATCTTACCAAGGAAGAGTTGGTGAGACACTTCCAAGAAGTTACATGAACTCGGTCACCTCTGTGCACATACAAGGTCAGATAATTAAGTTTGCAAACTCATCCTAAAAAGGGCTACATACCTCATTGCTGAACATCACTACGGTCCATTTTGGAGTACTCCCCATGGGAGTAGTGTCAGTAGGCACTGACTCAAGAGCCTAGTCCACTCTTCACAGCAATTTTGGAACTCTTCCTTGGAATGGCCATCAGAGCCGCTGTCATACAAGGTCTGACAATTAAGTTTGCAAACTCATATGCACCTGTCTACACCAGCCCTAAAGCAGGTGCCGGGTCTTTTCACACCCTCTCTGTTGTGCATCAATTGCTAGCAACTTGTAGCACTATCTCCCTCCTGCTAAATCTGAAGAAACAGAGGGAGCGAAGAGGGAGGAAATGTGGAAAGCCGTTGAGAAGATTCAAGCCTGTAATACCCTGCCCAGCAGTGCCTGGCCCTAGGTTTATTCTGGCTAATGCTACCTGCTAAAAAAGACCTAAGATTTTTATTTGGAGGAAAGGAGGAGGGGATTGGTTGTTTTTGTAATATAGGTAGACACATTTTGGAAGAGCTCGCCCCTCTTTCAGGCTGGAATTCAGCCTGCCGGGCAGACCTGGGTCTTGCCCATTTCAAGTTTTAGAAATGCATAACAACTTAAATTCATGTGTGTGCAGCTCCTTTGCAAAGGAAACCCTCTGCTAGGGACCCCTCTGTTTAAAAGCCTTCCCCACCCCCACCTCCAATAAACCTATCTACTGTTAACTTTCTGTTTCATTGACTATGCTTTCTTTTTAAAGCTCCATTTGTGTTCTACAAGACAGCCTCTTTCTCCAAGATTAACATTTCTTATGATTGTTTCTGACAATGGATCCACTTCCAGAGGCCCTGCGAAGGATAACCAAAAAAGGGCATGGAGCAGGCTGGTTTTGGCAGCCTGCACGCGGTTTCGGAGCTTTTTAGGTCTTGGTTTTTCTGATGAGTGATTTCCTGAGCATGCCTAGGGAATGACAGGCATCTCCACAGGCAGGCTGCATCCACCTTGGCCGGGTGGCGTCATTGGCTGTCTATTAGAAAAACTACAGGACAATGCATACCACGGCCCGCCGACTGTAAACATAGGGGCTATGCGTTCACTTAGCATGGACTTGTGGGAGGGGCTAAGGAAGGACGGTCTGGAGTTTTATTGAATAGAGAGCAGTGTGGATTAGGCTGCTGCCTGCCTGCCCTCTCGCTGCGCGCTCCTGCTTAAAGAAATCAGCCCTTCCTTTCCGATTCAGTCCTGGGGAGAAGTTTCAGCCTACAAGGTAAGGAACAGAAGGCTTTCTCTTCTCCCTTCTAGAGAATCTGGGGACTTTCTCTGGGTTCCAGTCGACTTTCCTGTCGTAGGTGGCCAGAGATACAAGATTGGTTTAAGGCAATAAACCATGTAAATTCCCAGAGCCAGACTGGGCTTCACCGCCCCGCAGATGTACCCAGAAGGCAAACAGGATGAGATTTCAAGTTGTGTTTTTGGAGTTGGGGCAGAGGAGAGCTCCCATCAAGACTCATATTAGTGCTGGCAGCTTTGATTAGGGCAGCCTTTTGTCTAGGGGAGCCACACGGGGTTCTACCTGATAGCCACAGGCCAGCGTTTGTAGGCGCGCTGTGCCAGGCTGCTGCCTGGCAATCTCCCCCTGCTTCTTGTATTATCAAAGCTTTAAAGCAATTTTGCTTTAAAAACAATAGCAGCAATTCCTTAGATGGTTGAGAAGCCAATAAGGGATAACTTGTTAAAATCAAAGGCATTTTTTAAATTCTGCTACCAATATTTAAGAACTGGATTTCCAGAGCTGCAGGGATGTAAGGTTAGAGGTAGACAGAGTGCTAGCACCTGGCGCTCGTGGGGTTAATGTCACTGATCTGGTATTTTTTTGCTAGGACTGGAGATGCCTGCCCTAATCTGTTTCCTATAAAACCTAATAACGAGAGAATGCATGTGCCAGTGGGTGTGTTTTTAGAAAGCACATTTAACCTCCTACCTATTTCTTAAGAAATCTCATTTTCTATTTGAAAGTGTGCCTGAGTGTGTCGAAAGAATTTGAAAAGATGTTGCCTGGAAATGTGTTCCAGAAAGGAAGAGACGGGCTTTTACTTTGAGGTATAGGTTTTGGGTGTCGGCAGCAGAAGTATAAGGCAGCTTGGTGGTAGGAGCCTGGAATTCCTTTTAGAAAGAGGAATTGTAAAGGGCAGGGGATTTTAGTGCTGTGGAATACATGCCCCCAAACAGCAGAGGAGAACAAAGTACGTGGTATTCAGAGAATCCTTGTGCTAACAGGACTATGCAGATGAGCTCGTAAACTGAACTAGTACAATCTTTCTAATGAGTTTGGCAAAAGAAGACACATAGCTAGAACTTGAGTGAAGATTAGCTGCTATGTGGTGAGAAGGATAAATGTGATGACTTTTTTAATAATGCTGGACATTCAAGCCTACCAGCTTCAGATTGATGTGATCTGTCCTGGTTCCATGGATGGCAGTAATGTGGGGTTGAGCGTCATTAAATAATTTGTTCTCTTTTTATTCAAAAGTATGGGAATAATTTTCTTGAGCACGCCTCTCTCTCCTCCTAGAAGTGAGACGTAAGAACAAAATTCCCCGTGAATTTCTAGAACAGTTCTGAGTGCGTGTGAGAGAAAAGCCGCAGGCACAAGCTATCGTTTGATTATTGTCTTTCCCTTGAAGAGATCAAGTTCCAGACTATTTTCAGTGTGTGTAATGTCAATCAAAAGACGGAAAGCAATTTCTTTTTTCAACTGTGCTCTAAACCATGAAGAAAATGCAGTTTGGAAGGAAATCTATAATCTTAGGGTTTGAGGATAAATTCCATTTTGAAACCAACATTTCCAAATCCTTGAAAATTCAAACCCTGCTATGACCACTCCCGCCCATCTTCTTCGTGTGCCCAACAACCACAACAACACTTTTAAGTTCTTCGCAGTGACACTGTAGGTATTGTGCTGCCCACGTGGTGATGGAGAGGGAGGGTTTCAGGTTGTGTTGAGCTTTAAGCAGCTCTTTGTGCTGGATATCAGCTAGAACACACCTCCCCAACAGGAAGGGGAATAGAACGTGGGGAAACAACCACGGTGTGAGAACTTTCATTTTGCTAAAATCATGTAATACAGAGGATCATAATAGCAAAGTTCTGGGGGAAAAAAATCAACTACAAGTAGAGTTGATTTTTATTTTTAAATTTCAGGTTAAAGTGGGGGCATAAACGACCAAGTCACAATATTTGAATGTATTAGGTAGAGTCCCCCTCATAGTTATTATCCCGCACCCAAAAGGTGTGCCAGACACCCCTATACTGTATGCACCAAACCTCCCCTCCCTTCTCCCTCCTACTTTGTTCCCCTTCCCCCCAACTTGAATTAAAATGAGTTTTTCTCCCATGTGGGTGTGAATTAGATGGTTTACCGCTTCGCATTGGTACCGAGAACATTGGAGGAAGAGTTGATCTTAGGGCACATAAGGCATGTACAGCAGACCGATCTATTGGTCAAGTGTAGATTATTTCCATTATTCAAACCCAATAGAATGTGCAGTTTAAACAGTTTGAATCAAAAGGTTGCCTGACATAAATACACAATTCTTGTATGACAGAGGAGAACGAGACTCAAACTGCAGCATGAAGGATTTAAATGAGAAACATGAAAGCACCTCCTGACAGGGAGACGGGCTATTAATAATTCTAATTGGTTCCTGTGACTGACCTGAGAATCTTCTGCTTTTGGGAGGATGGAGGTCCTGTAGCCAGCCATGGAAAGTTCCAGAATCCAGCCCCGGGTCGTCTCTGTTCTTTCTAATAAGTAAAACATACCTCAGTAGGCATTTTCTTAAAAACCCACAAAGTCTCCATTGGGCATTTTCATGGTAGCATGATTATTTGTCATTCTTCAGCAAGACAAGAACGTGACTTGGAGACAGGCATGAAAGGGGATTAGCCAGCTCCCCATCCGCCGCTAGTCTACCATGTGTCTCAGTAATGTGGTGGGGGGACAGGGAAATTGCTGGCAAAGTGGTATGTAAATAGCATAACAGGAGCAAAGAGGAGGTTAGAATGATGCCGCCAAGGAATTTTTCAGACTGAAAAAGGGGGTTTCTGGGTAAGTTCTCTAGAGCCTGGAGAAAGAACCGTTAGCTCCTTACTGAAAGTCCTTCTTCTGTCGGACTAATCCAAGTTTGGCATTGGAGCGATGTCCCTGAGTTCCAAGTAGCTGGCTAACTTAAAGAGATACTTTTAGATCAGCCTTGACTCGGAGAACAACTACAAGACCTCAGTTCTACTGCTGGTTCCTCTACTTAAATAACCCTGACCTTCCTTTGAGGAAGTTATTGACCCATTGCCCTCATCTGTAGAATGGGCATCATGTTTCCCGGTGTCCCACAGCAGTTAGGTTAAGATGTGCAAATGAGACGAGGCTGTCCACACGCTGGGCTGCCTACAATTTGAGTCCTCTGGACCTTATGCTTCTCTTGCCTGGTATCCTTCACTTCTTACCTAGTATTCCAGACCCTCTCCTCCTTTCTCATATTTGAGGTTCCTTGAGTGGTACCTTCTGGTTCCTAGTTCTTTCCAGAACCCCAAGCCCAAAGTCCAGTGAATGCTGGTGCATCCCAATGTTGTCTGAACTATGGCTTTGATAATCAGAGACCAAGATGACATAGCTATTAGGAAGGGAAATAATATGGTGTATTCATGGTGCATAGCAACATCCAGGGACAGGGAAATCTGAAGATCTAGTTGAGCAGAAGACCAGTGACGACGTGCTGACAACAGAAAGGCTTTAGGAAATGAGGCAGCTCCTCTGCCTCCTGCCAAAAGCACGGAATGAATCCCAGCACGTCAGGCCTGGGCCTTGCAGGGAGGGTGAGGTAACCAGGAGCACCTGGCCATGGCTCCTGCTGGTATTGAGACCAGATTGCTCCTGGGAGCTTGCCTCTCACCTCTGTTTGCTCTGTCTTTAGTACTCCCAGTGGCATTCCTAACTTGCTTTCCCAAAGTCTTCCACCTCCACCCTCTTCCCCAAGTGCTCTCAGCCTCAAGCCAAACATGGGGCTTTCCTGATCCAGTATTGGCAGTCCGTGGGGCCAGCTCCGGGTTGAAGCCCAGTGCATAGCAGAAGGGTCTAGCACAGGCATGTTTCAGAAAGGGCGAACTCTGTGAGCAGACACAGATGTCAGAGCATGCTCTGTGCTAAGGGCCACTCTGCTTATACCCCAAACTCACAACTGGCTGGCTGGAAGGAAAAGATGACCCTGAGCTATAGGAAAGAGATGACTGAGGCTGTCCCTGTTAGTTGTTCTTCTCTGTGTTGTTACAAAGACCTTTAAGAATCTGATAAAAACTCTGAAACCTTAGAGACCACCCTTTCTTACTGACAGTAAGGACCCTTGAGCTGGGATAGATGCGCTAGGGCAGTGGGGGAAAGTCTCAATTCACAGAAGACGTGTGTACCTGGGATCAGAACACTAGTGGGGGTGGAATCATAGAGAAATTCAAGAACAGAAGTCCAGGGTCCACAGAGAGTGGAGTTGGAGTGAAGGTAGGTGAAAGTATCCCCAGAGGGGCCCACAGGTCCCCACTCAGTGTGTTTCATTCATATCACTCGGCTGTAGCCTGTGTCAGCCTCTTCCCGTGGTTCTATCAACTGGAAAATTCTTCCTGCTTCCCGGTCAAATTCTGAGAGAAGGGATCTTATTGGTTCAGCCAAAAAATGATTGTCTCTGTTTGTCAAGTCCCTTAGCAGGAGGAGGACACTAAAGGCCTGGGCATGCCTATGAATGGATTGCTCTAATCCAGCCAGGCTCGCCGCCGGGCTCAGGAGAGCCCAGTGGGTGCCTTTAGTTAGAAGAGAAATTGAGGGCGGTGCCTGTGGCTCAAAAGGGTGGGGAGCTGGCTCCATATTCCGGAGGTGGCAGGTTCAAACCCAGCCCCAGCCAAAAAGCAAAAACAAACAAACAAATAAATAAATGAAATAAAATATTAAAAAAAAGAAGAAGAAGAGAAATTGAGCATGGAAAGTAAATCAGCTGAGATCTCCAGCAGCTCTCAATGGGCATCATCTGAATTTATATGTGAATGAATTCATCGAGAGGCAGACACCCGACGGATGGTCTCACAGTTCCTGATGACTATGTTGGCATGACCAAATGACCCAGTCTGAAGGGAGATTAACTTGGAAGTTTGCATCACTGGTAACTGAAAAGAAAAGAATCCTCCATGTCAGAAAGATTCTAAAGGAGAACATTTTGAATAGTTTTG